AACACTACCTGCTATTCTCCCTAAAACCCTTGGAAAAATGTTGGATTTGGTTAAAAGAGCTCTGAGCACAACAAACTCCTCCTCTGCACAGACCTGGGTGGGGTTTGCTCCTCACACCTGCAAGAGGAGAATAAAACATCACTTTGTTCCTCATTATTCAGTTCAATAATTCATCATTATTCATCATTTTGTTGCTCATTATTCAGAGCAYGGTGGATCCTTGGGATTGTCCTGGGCAGGGCCAGGAGTGGGATCTGCTGATCTTTTGGGACATTCCATGATTAAACAGGAACATGAACCCAAYCCTGCTCTTCCACCTCCAAACACCCAACCCCAGCAGCTGCTGATGGAAGTCACCCACGAGCAGATCCTGATCCTTTTGCCATCCCAAAACCAGCTGAGATCAGCTCCCTGCAGTGACACCTCTCATCATTCACAGGAGTGTATTCCATGGGGAATCGCTGCCAGGAGAACCAGACGTGGGTGTTCCTTTCAGCTGGAATTGTTGGGCAAATCTCCGGGAGTTTGGGCTGGACCTGCATTTATTTTCCAGTGAAGGAGGCGTGTTCAGAGTGACAAAAATGCAGGAAAGGCCGGTAAATCTTTCCTGGGAAATGAAATAGATGATTTTCAGTCCCGTCCTTGCGGCTATATCAGCAGGGCTCCGTGCCATGGGTGGGAACACTCGTAACGCCTTTGCCTGCAGTGGGATAAGGCTTAACCCCAGAAATCTCTCTTCTAAAGGTGCTTTTATGGGATTTTCTTGGCATTCCCATGGCCTGGGAACATGTTCTGCTCCATGGAGGAGAAGTCCCTGCACGCAACCCCGAAAGCCACTCGATGTTTTAGGGTGAAGCTGTTATCCATGGACACTGAGCTGTCTGAGATCTGGGAATGCACCTGGGACAGCTCCTGAAAGTCAAATTCATTTTCTGTCCCAAGCCAAGGTGGGGAACAGGGTCAGGGAGCAGTTGCAGCACCGAGCAGCTCTCTGGCCCTTTGAGCCTCTGGACACCAGGAAAACGGGGGAATAGCAGATGGGAAATTTGGGATGCTCCCACTGCTTTGTAGAGGCTCTCAGGAAGCTTGTAGAAAATTTGGGATGCTCTCACTGCTTTGTAGCGGCTCTCCTCTGTCAGGGCGTCCACCTTGGTCTCCAGATCCACCTTGTTCACATAAGCAGTGTCCACATCCTGGAATGGTGACAGCAGGGGTTGGCCCAGATCTTCTCTGGTCCTTGGTGAAGGCTTTGTATCTAACACAAACCTTTGGAGTTTCAGACTAAATTAAGARCTGAAATTTCTTGTTAAACCAGAACTGGAGCATTTCTTGATCTCTGTGCCTTTAAACAGAGCCAAGAATGAAGTGGTTTCTCCCCTCCACCTTTTTTTGGGAGGGGAGGAGGGAGGATGTCCATGGACCCAAACAGTGTCTGACGTGTCACACCACTGAGTTTCCCTTTCTTTGCCAGGGCATTGAACTTCACCCCTTCAACAAGACCACCTCCATCACTCCAACGGGACTGCAGCCACCACCCTGCCCAACTGGGGGTCAGTTGTGTTCTGCCTTTGTCAGTTTAAGCTGTTGTTTCTGTATTATCGCCTTTATTTTAATTTTTCTTATTAAATTGTAATTCTGACTTAGATTCTCTTGCAACATATTTGTGTGGGGGTAATTACCTCGCTGGTTTGTTTCTCAAATTACCACACGCAGGCTCCAGGTTATTCTGCACCATCTTCTGCTCCTTCAAGAGGCTCCATTTGGTCTCCAAAACTTTGTTTTGTTGCTCCAGGAACCAGACCTTAAACCCCTCAGAACCATATAACTAATTCAAGGTCCTCAACTCAAAACTTGCCTTGCTTTTCACGAAATGGAGCTTTAATATTTTCTGTGATTTAAAGCAGGATTTGATGGGCATGTCACTAAAAGATCATTGGTAGGAAGATTTGGGAGCCGGGAGAAAGACTCAACTGCAAGGAAACCTGGAGAAGTAATTTGTTCTTCGTCCAGGCTGTCAAAAAAATCTGTATGGAGAGTCTGGATATGGAACAAAATCCAGAAAAATATACTTAACCCTGCAGTAAGGATTTAGAATTAAATTTCTAGCATTGAGAACTCTGTGACCCCATCTCCAGGCAACGCCAGAGCTGGAAGAGCAGAACGTGCCTCTCCTTATTGATGAAGGAGGCAAATTTGTTGTTGAGGGATTTGATCTGGAAAGGACAAGGTGAGGTGGGAGAGCGGCAGGAACCTTTGTGAGCTGGGATCAGGAGTTCCCTCAGCCTTTTATGCTTCTGGAGAGCTGGGCTTGACCCCAGCTCTGGGGAGTGAGCTCACGGGTTTGGAATCTGGCACCCCACCCGCCCCAATGCCACAGGCTGGCAGCCACAGCTCGTAAAATATCCTAACCTGTCTTTTCTGAGCTGCTTTTCAAAGAGGAGATTACTGGTGGGGCAAAAGAAATCCGTTTCCATCCAGAAGCTGCCTCTGGGCTTGGTTTTAGCTTGGTTGAAGTGGTTCCTGTTTAGTTTAAAGCTGATGGGGATGAAGTTGCTGCAAGAGGGAATGCAGAGATGGGGGAAATACCAGTCTGATGAGCTTTGCTAAAGAAAAAAAAACTAACTTTGCCCCAGATTACCAGCCATTGTGGGCTAGTGAAAATCTGTGCTGATCCAGGCAATAAATTCAAGATCCCAGGTCAAGAAGTGACCGGCAGGGGAAAGCCCGGGTTTTCATTCCTCATCGAGAGCTTAATCCAGGTCTTTGTGTTCTGAGGTCCCAGTCCCAGGTCTGATGTTTGGATTAATATTGATAGGTGTGATCTTAACAATCATTGATCCATGAATTGAAATCAATCCATTGATCTGCAGACCAGACCTGCCTTGGTCTGCTCTCCTAAGCTTTGTAGAATTTCACAGGCACTGAGGTGCTGCTGGTAAAGGTGGGGATTTGGGAAGCACCAGCGCCTTTCTGGGAGCCCGAGGGCTTTGAGTAAAAATGCTGAATGATGAGAATTCCAAAAATCCAGAGTGCCCTGAGAGAAAACAGCCTGAGTTTTTAAAGTCCTGCTCATCAGAAGAGTCACAGGATGGAAGGAACCCACAGGGACCATCGAGTCCAACCCCWGGCCCTGCTCAGATTCCCCAAAATCCCACCCAAGAGCGCTGTCCAAATGCTTCTGGAGCTCTGGCAGCCTCGGGGCTGTGCCCATTCCCTGGGGAGCCTGGGCAGTGCCCAGCTCCAGCTGTGTCCTGGGTCCTGTCCCTGTCACAGAAAAACTGAAAGGCCAGTTTTTAATAATGACACRGACATGGTTAAGGGGATAAAAAGGGTTTTTATCTCATGTATCTGTTGAATCCCATTTTGATGCACCTTCCAGGCTGCATTCAACAATRCACTCATGTCATATGTCCCATCCATTTTTTGCGACTTTCTCCTTATGTCCTTTGCAGATTTGCAGATGTCTATAAACAGAAAGGCCAAGTGGGACTGCTGTGCAGGGGATTCAAAATCCAGATTTGTGTATTTCTGTGCAGCTTCCTTGAGCCTATTCGGGTAGTCTGTAGGGGACTCATTTACATCTTGCCTAATTTCATATAATTTGGAGCAATTCACTGTTTTAAGAATAGCACATTTCAACCCAAGGACCCCCCATTTTTGATATCGTTTTAATTTGGCCATCTGATCTGACACATTGTGGTCCCACCCCGGATCTGATAAAGGGGAAATGTCATTTACAGGTCCTTGAAGGGTTCCAGCTGTAATTTGGGTCTCTATAGCAGCTATTGCAGCCTTGGTGRCCATTCCCTTTTCTGTGCTATCCAGTAATTCATCTAGCATTACATTCAGATCACCCCAGTCTGGATTTTGTGCCTTTATATCTGTTTCAAAATAGCCACTCTTTCTGGATTTATATCCTTCCATGACTCATCCCATAAAATCTTGAAAGATCACAGAGGTTTGGGCATGACCACCATGGCATAAAAGGGTGAGATGTTGTGATGTGGGAATTGAGATAGAAGGATTTCCTCTAGYGCCATGTAGGAAGGGCAGATATCTTCCCATCCTCTTGGAAATGGAACATCCAAGGGKTCTGTTCCTGTTGGATTTGAGGTCYATGGAGCTGGAGAGGAAGGASATGTCTCAATTTGTGTGTGACTGTTTTATCTACAAAGCAGCAAAACCCCAAGGCTTGATAAAAGAATTGGAATTAAAGATTGGATGCGACAGAATTAATTCCACGTGCCTTTTATTAGACAAACACTGGGAAATGAGGAATGTCGAGGGTGAAAGAACAAAAGGGAGCACAGCAGGTTTTTATAAATAGTGACAGATAGATTTGATTTCCAAATCTTTTGAAGGAGCCGGGTGAGTCAGTTCCTCAGTAGCATCTCTTGCTGGAAGAGCTGGTGGARATGGACTGGAAGCTGGAGCTGCTCCCTCCAACCATGCAGGAGCCGTGTCCACTCCCGGAGCTGGAGTTTGCTCCCATCCCAGCACAGACCCCACCTCCAGCTCTGCTGCTGAAGCTCAGGCAGTTCCCAYTTCCATATCCTGCTCCTGAAGTGGTTCTGGTCACAGCTGCCRGGGGAAAACACCCTCATGAGAATCATCCACAGGCAGTGGATGAGTGGGATGGGCTCTGAGAAGGGATGAGAGATAAATCTAGAAAGTGCCTAGAAAACTCTTTTTAAAAGTTACTTACAGATGTTCACTGTGCCGGCACCTTCCCCCGAGAGCCTGTCAGGGAGCAAAAGAGAACCAGTGAGAATTGAAGGGAAACCCGTGAGCAGGACCAAAAATATTCTCCTTGGAATATTTTTGGGAGGTGGAAAGTTTGTGTGAAAGGCTGCTCTTCACAGGCACTCACTTGTCCTGAAACAGCTTTCAGGTCTGAATGGGGGTCTAAACCTGACCAGGGYTTACASRTTCACTGCACCTCTGAAATTTGGGRTTTCAAATCCCACCCACCTGCTCTCCTCGCCCTCCAGCAGCTTCCTGTAGGTCGCRATCTCGATGTCCAGGGCCAGCTTGACGTTCATGAGCTCCTGGTACTCGCGGAGCTGCTGGGCCAGGTCAGTCTTGGCTTTCTGCAGGGCSWYCTCCAGYTCKKYCAGCTTGGCCCTGGCGTCCTTGAGGGTCATYTCCCCGCGCTGCTCCGCGTCGGCGATGGCCGTCTGCAGCCCGGCCACCTGCAGGGAAAAATCTGAGTTTTCAATCCTTACCAAGAACATAATCCAGCTGTGTGTGTCCTGAGGTCCTGATCGCAGGTCTGGTGTTTGGGTTAACATCAATAGCTGTGGTCTTGGCTATCACTGATCCATGAATTGAATTAAATCCATTGAACTGATCCATGTTCATGGGTAGCAAGGTTGGGAAGGGCTTGGAACACAAAGCCCGTGAGGAACGGCTGAGGGAGCTGGGGGTGTTCAGCCTGGAGAAAAGGGGACTSTGAGGTGACCTTATTGCTCTCTATAACTCCTTGCATGGTGGCTGTGGGCAGGAGGGGTCGGCCTCTTTCTCCAGACAGCAGCTGGCAGAATGAGAGGACTTGAGCTGCACCAAGGGAAATGGAGGTTGGATATCAGGAAAAAGTTTTTTATGGAAAGAGTGATAAAGCACTGGAATGATCTGCCTGGGGAGGTGGTGCAGTCACCATCCCTGGAGATGTTTGAAGAGAGATTGGATATGGTGCTTGGTGATGTGGGTGAGTCGAGGTGTCAGGGCAGGGGTTGGACTCAAAGGTCTTGAAGGTCTCCTCCAACCCTGGTGATTCTGTGATTCTGTAATTCTATGTTCTGAGCCAGCCCACAATCTGAATTTACCTCCACAACTCCCAGCATCTCCTTGGGGTCACTGAGTCACTCTTGGTGATGTCACTTGCCCTGATACAAATCCTGTCCTATCCATTCCTGATCCAGTAGAACTCCCTTGGATGAATTTATTTGAATTCCCAGCACAGCCCAGAAGGTCGGGTCACAGCAAGAGTCAATTTTGTTGCGTTGGGGCTGCCCTTTACCTGTTTTTTCACGCTGTCGATCTCGGAGCGGAGCCGCTGGACGTGGCGGTTGAGCTCCGAAATCTCCTGTTTGGTGTTCCGGAGATCGTCCCCGTGTCGGCCAGCCGTGGCCTGCAGCTCCTCGTACTGTCAGGGACAGGAACAACCAGTCAAGGGAAAATCAGCTGGATTCAGAGCCCAGCAGAGCATGGGTTTGGGGTTTTTGCGCCCCGAAATGTGTGTGTGTTCCCAATCCCAAATTAACTCTTCCAAATTTTATGGGG